GTATGTATGTATGTATGTATGTATGTATGTATGTATGTATGTATGTATGTATGTATGTATGTATGTATATGATAGCCTATTTGCATGCAAGTTTCTTTCCACAGCACAATAGTCGATTGCATGTTTAAAGTAAAAATCCTACCCGGGAGATTTTTAAAACACTGGATTAGTACCTTTTGCCAAAGAATTAAGCTTCTGTCTGAAGCTCAACAATACACAGCCCTGTCTGAAATATGCAGCGTGATAAGAATTTAAAAAAAAGGCTGAAAAATGTTGGGTAAAAAAGCAGCGAGTTTATTGTCACGTGTGAAAGCGAGCAATTAGTACAAGTGGAAAAAGACAGAGCAGGCGAGAACCAGCAGCCAAAGAGTCACACTCTAGCTGAGTGGAGTAATTGATGATTGGCCGTCTCAGATAGTCAATAGCCGGAGGATTGGGCACGTAAAGTAAGTTGGCTGCAGTTCAACCTCCAGGCAGGAAAAAAAGAAAAGAAAAATGAAGTCGTTGGTCTTTGATAAAGCGCCAGAGCCACCCTGGTCTTTTGATACACATATATCTTCACTAAAGCTCCTATTAGTGAGTGCAGCATGTTATTAGTGGAGCTCCGACTGAACACATACGGTTAAGCTCCAGTAATTCTGTTCAGACCTTTAAGCCAGAGAGAGCCCGGTGTAAAGTGATGATTTTAGTGGGCTTATTAAAATTCTACCACCTTGTCAACACTCAAGAGATGATTAGGGTACTTACATTTCTGCATCACTGTGGCTTTGATAATTGTGTTCATCATTTTCAGGTAAACTGGTTGAATAAATTTTTAATGGGGCTTTTGTGTTAGCCTGTGCTTGACAACAGTGATGCACAAGAACAAAGTGAGCCCAAGCATATCCTTCACAGACCTAAAGGAATAATTCAGGTGTTCTGAATGAGGTTCTGTGTAAAGGTTATAAACTATTAACATCTTACCTGTTGTAGATAACCCTTTGAACGAAGTCATTTTGAAAACAGATTTTAATTTTGACCTGACAAATGAGTTAATTGCCAGTCAGAGTAGGACCACACACACTATTTGTCTTCTTTATCCATTTCTGAATTATTTAAATACATTTTAAAGCATTTTATGTTGACTTGTCATGTTCAAAATATCGCTTCTTGCATCCTGTGTTTTTACTTTTTTATTATCTTTCTTCTTTTTTTCTTTCTTTCTTATTGCAAAGTTTACACTTTGCGGGGGTGGGGCGGGGGGTTGAGATATTAAACCCTAGTTAACTCATTTCAACTATGATTTGTTCAGTCAGGACAGTCCACATGTTGCAAATGTCAAAACTTTGTTAAAACTCTTGACTTCTCAAAAACCTTTTCAACAGTCAGCAGCTATGGCTTCTTAAGGCAGATATCCAGCAGCTTACAAGAAAAATATTTGATTATCACAAAACAACAGAAGGCTTTAAGGGGACAGCAAAGCATTTTCAGGCAGCTTTTCCTCAGTGTGTTATGTAATTATGAAAGTGTATGATGCAGGTCAAGTCGAGATCTGAAAATGGAGGGAAATTGTCTCAGAGAACTGCCTATATGAGTGCTATAGAGACAAATCAAAATTTCTGCTTGACTTTAGATGAATTTTCTGACTATCAGATTCGTGGGAGGGGGTGTAATACAAGCATCTTCTCTTGACTCCCTGGAAAAAGAGGTCTGTGATGAGATTTGCCTGGTTAAGCTTAACAAATAATGCAACATAATACACCACTACATCATGCAGGGCTATTTTTTAGATTTTTTATATAAGTGGTGGTGGGTGGTGCTACTTTTGATTGAGATAGCTTTGCATGTAATATGTTGCTTGTTTCTCTTAAAAAACAAGTTGTAAATAGTCCTAATTTTGCCTTTACTTGAGAAACAAAAAAATGTTTGAGTAAAAAAAAAGCTTGGCAGATATTTTATGAAAATAGAGTGTCAATTACATCATGTGAATGACAACTCAGTGCCAAATGCATCTACATTTTTATTCACTGGCAGTACAGCAACACATGAATGCATGAGCAAAAATGACAGTGAATGACTGGATGCAGGAGCCCACAGTAAAACAAAGCTACTTGTCACAAATTATTGCTTTCATCCATAACTTGAAGAATTCTACTTGTTTAGGTTCAGTAGAGTTTAGATAAATAAACAGTTCTGACTAAAACGCTTCTACACAATTTAAAAGGATGTAACTAAATTATAAAAATATACAATTCATTAATTGTAATTATTGTTACAACTATGGATTCAGAAGTGCGTGAGCAGGGAAATGTCCTGTCTGTTTTCATTGTTTTGCTTTGTTTTGTTTTTTCTTTCTTTTCTAAAGCTTTACAATACAATTTTTAATCTATCCTAGGTGCCAATGCTTCAGCCCCAGACCAGCTGAGTTTAGCTCTTGCGTGGAACAGAGTGGACATTGCACGCAGCCAAATCTTCATCTACGGACAGCAGTGGCCTGTAAGAAACAATAAATACAAGAGCATAATTATACGACATCGAATCTCAAACCTGAACTAGAGTTCAACATATATGTCTTGCATTTTTACTATGAGTTTCTCCATCACTGATGTTTCAGGTGTCTTACATTAAAGGAATCCAATTAAACACTGCATGCAGTTGTTTTTATAATCATGATTTTGTTTTCCTTTGTGCGCCAGGTTGGTTCTCTTGAACAGGCGATGCTGGATGCCTTAGTTTTAGACAGAGTGGACTTTGTCAAGCTACTGATTGAAAATGGAGTCAGCATGCACCGTTTCCTCACACTTTCCAGGCTAGAGGAGCTCTACAACACGGTAATGGCAGCCACACAAAGTGGCGTAAACACATTTTATTTGTTAAAAATACAAACTGTATAATTTATTTAAAATATTTTTTTCCAACAGCGCCATGGACCATCAAACACGCTGTATCATCTTGTCAGAGATGTCAAAAAGGTAAGACCACCACTGCCATCGCATTAGCTTTGTAGCCGCTCAGGCACACTGGATGCAAATTGTCTGAATTGAAGAGGACACGTTTGACTAAAGAGAGTTTCTGTTGCTTTTTATTTGTGGTGTGCGTAAGTTACTTTGTTTGCATTTGTTTGTGTGTGTATGTGTATATTTTTGGTAGCTGTAGAAGCTGGTGACTTCAAATAGAGGCTGGCTTTTCTCTTTCGGCTGGATTTGTGCACTGCATTGTCTTTGAAGAGCTTTGCACGACTCCAACCGCTTTCATGATTCACAGTTTTACTTTCCCTACAACACACGCTGCCATGGGAAACAAACAAAACATCGATGACAAAGTATTATGGGCACAGAACTTTAACTTGCAGTTAGAAGTTTAGACGCACACACCAGGAGCATTATGTTGAGGCATTTAACAGTTTATTTGACACATTCTTTTCCGAGGGTGAAATTATTATACAGCATTCAATTCAATGAATTTTTAATAACAAGAATTGTGTGCATGCATTTCTAATTATTTTTAAGGTTTCTCAAATCCACAAAAGAAAATAGTACATACGTGTGTTGCCAAAGGTTCTATGGTGTGAGACCAAGGCTTAATAACTTTCTGTTAAGGATCAGATTTACTGCAGGTCACAGCTTCTCTTTGCCAGCATATAAAAGATTTGTTTGACAGAACTCATTGGACTTACCTACAGTATACTCATCCATCACCTTCAGTTAAAATAAAAATGTTTAGGATGTTTAGGAATAATTCAAGAATCACCAAGTTTCAAGCCTGTCATGAAGTGGAAATTGCTGCAACAACAGTGTCTCTGTCCACAGTGAAGCATGTTTTGTATCACCACAGAATGAGACAGGTCAGAAAGAAACCACTGCAACACATTTAAGCTGAACCGAAATTTTCAGCTTCCCACATGGACAAGCCAAAATCCTTCAGATGAGACAAAGGCTAAAAAGTTATTTGTTCACAATGATGTAATGCTTGTTTGGAGAAGTCAAGGTGAGGTTTTCAAATCCCATCAAGCATGATGGTGTTCACATCATAATGCCGTACTGGTACATTCAAAGAGAGTGGAAGAATAATTACAGAGGTCCTTCAGCCTCATGTCAAGTCAACAGCCAACCCATTCTCACTCCCAACTCGTCACATATTGACCTCTGGTCAGGTACCATCTTGCGTCCAGTTTTGGACATGTTGGGTACCACCCTCGCGTCAGTTATTACTGAGATGAGATGGAGGAGGAGCGCGTTCTCATGTTTTTGAAAAGAGTAGGAAATGAATGACAACTAACCATCCCAGACCCTAAATTTAAATTATATTAGCCCTATACACCCTATTCCTGACACCAGAACCTAAAATTAACCATTAATCCTGATCCCTCTTATTAACGGTACCAGACCAAGCGTCAATATGTTGGCAAGTCGTGAGAACGTGTTGCAACAGCAAGATGGTTGAAACTTGGACACAACCTGTTCCGGCAGGACATTGATTCAATAAACACAATGAAACTTGTTTGTAAACAGATCAAAGGCTAACAATAAGCTTACGGTAAAAAAACCTTCCCTGAGGTCCAACTTCATCCTTTCTGAAATCTTGCTATATATGCTTCAATTTGGTCTGTACTATGAACCCCATCAGGTTAAATGAACTCTTCCAATTGTGCCAAGAAGAACCAACATTATACCAGAAACTTGTTGATGGATACAGAAAGCATGTGGTCAAAGTACAGCTAAGGAAACATTAACTAAACATAGATTGGTGATGATACTGTACAGATACTTGAGCCTGTGTGTATACAACATGCATGCTATTTTTTATTTCATTTTTTGCTTTTAATAATCTCTGAACCATGTTGTATGACCATTGCACCCAGGATAAAGAACCACTGAAAGCCCCCCACCCACCAAATTATGTCATTCATGATTATGCTAAACATGAATATTGAGTAACAAACAGTCTGACAATTGGAACCAAATTGAAGCCACAGTGGAAAAATCTGTCTTATGAAAAACAACTCAATATATATTGCTTATTTTAACTTTATTGAGAAGTCATTTTTGTATCTCTCTTTAAAGAAATCGCTTTAATTAAATATCTTTTTTATTTTAAATGTGAATGAAAATAAAATTAAATATTTCATATCTGATTTTCTTCAACAACTTGGATTTTAGATTCAGTGTGTGTTGTCAATTCATGAGAGGTCGGACTATCTGGGTTGAGGGAAAGGTCAACAACACCACTATTAGCATTTGAAGGATGTTCATTGATTAATAAGTTACTTATGATGTCCACACATTCTCCTCTGAAATACGATAAGACGATAAGTGGCTTTAAACCCAACTCTGATCTCAGAGTTGGGTAGGAAAAATATAGCACATGATATTTCACTCGTCAGTTTCACCATCCTGCCAAACACACTGCAGTGCATGGCATAATATTACCATCCTGTTGTTTCAGAAGTGTGTGTAAATGTATTTGTGTGGTTAAATGTTTGTGTGTCATTGTCCTATCTGTGTATGATGCTAATTAGACTTTACCGCTATCCCTCGGGTGGAGTCACCATGTCATCGTTGTTTTCTTTCTCATTATTCTCCGAGGATTATCTCGCTGTTCTGTCAGCAGCTGTCCGTTCTTCTCATCTGAGTTTTATGCTGATATTAGTTTGAGCCAATGTAAGCTGGCTTCAGGGTAACCTGGTCCTTTCATTAGATTGAATCAAAGGTGAGTTGGGAATCAGGAGAATCAAAGAGAGTGGTTCGTTGGCTGCAGCTGCCAAAGCAGAAACCTGCTGTCCTGCAGAGAAAACGAACCTCGTGGTGAACAGTTGGTCCCAGTGCAACTTGAAGAGTCTCAAAAGGATATGTGATTGTACATGTTTGAAGTTAGATTAAAACATTTTGTAAAAATCATTTTAGATCATTAGCCAACTTTTTATTTGCTGTTTGTTGTTTAACTTCTTCAGAAATGATCAAACTGTAACACTGTAAACTCAGTGTGTATTCACACAAAGTCAAAACAATTACCAGACATACTGTGCAGCCTTTTACAGGCAAATACACGCATGCCAGCATTCCATTATGAGGGTAAGAGATTGGAGAACAAAATTTACAATCATAAAAAAGACATCCAATCTGTTGTGTTTTTAATCACTGCTTTTTAGAGGTTTTCAATTTATGTGAGGACCTCCTGCTAGAGAGAGAAAACAAACTCCCTCCAGAAATTCTTCTGTTGTAATGACATTCTATTTTAAGGGGTGTTTATTTTAAAACACTGAGGTAATGCAGGACTGGCCTCTCCAGCAAAGTCATCCTGAAATCTGAATGATGTTGAGACAGCTGTGTATGGATAACAACATGTTACTGAAGGGAATTTGTGCATCAGCTGTTGCCAAAGATGGATGTCCTTGCTTTTAGAGAATTCGTGCTCAAACAAAAGTCCTTATTGTCCAAAACCTGCAGTCCTCCAGTGAGCATATAAACAAAAACACGGCTCACTGGAATGATGTGCACTGGAAATATACATTATGGATATGGTTTTAAAGCCACAGTAACAGTAGAAAGTTTGAAAATTGGGGCGAGCTTAACCACTGAAACATCCTGCATCAGTAATGATTTGTATGTAAATGACTGGAAAAGCTCTTTCCTTCTCTTGTTCAGTCCCTACCTTTGCCACAGTCTGCGTTAAATATGTCAGGAAAGCCATGTGTCTCAAAGGAACAGTGGGGACCAGGATAATGCCTGCATGGTTTAACGTTCAGGTTAGAGGCACGAGGAGGAGCAATGAGTATTGACAGACTTTTAGGCCTCACATGAAAGAACTTCTGTTTCAATAATGACTCTCCCCCTCAAGCGTTAGTAGCTGTGTATCGCTCCATGCTACTGCCGCTCTCTTCCAGGCTAATGAGTCATTTCCATCGCTCTCATCTTCTCTCTTCAAGGCAATATTGAATTTTACTTACAAGATCTCATTATTTCCCTGAATGAAAATTATGACAATTGATCCAATTCTTCACTTCCACCGAAACTGCCCTCAAACACACTCATTCAAACAACACTTTGGATTCTTGTCATATTTGGCTCCTGTAATTTTTGTTGTTTTAAATAATCACCTGCTGCAAAGCTGTATGCTGTTTCGTCTAAACCTTAAATCATTCTCAGCCACTTTCTGATTACAATATTGCCAAATAACCACATCAAACTATAGCCTGTAATTTCTACATTCAACTCAAATGCCCATTGTTTTAAATCATTCAAAAATAAACACTGTCTTGATAAAAGAAAAACCTATTTTATGAAAGACTGGAAGAGAGATCCTGCCTGAGAGTTTCTGTGTACCTCATTTCCCCTGCTCTTGCTTACCGTGCGTTTTACTCACTGACATTGTGTGTTCTTTCCAAGCGAGAATATCCAGGGTTCAGTTGGATCTACTTCAAGGTGAATCCGATAATCACGTTTTCTTTTTGTAGCCAAAAAATAAAAAAATAAAAAAAATAACAATTTGATATGGATTTTTGTGATATGTTCGTGTGTGACTGTGTAGTTCTTGTGCTCTCATGTTCCCCTTCCTTTTTTTTAAATCACTTGGTGTGGGGTTGTTGCCTGTAAACACTGTCTGGTTTGTAGGGAAACCTGCCCCCGGATTACCGCATCAGTCTCATCGACATTGGGCTTGTCATTGAATACCTCATGGGTGGAGCATATCGATGTAACTACACCAGGAAGAGATTCAGAACTCTGTACCATAATCTGTTTGGGCCTAAAAGGGTGAGTTTATGACCTTCCCTATATTTAATATCAATTACTTTTGGCACTAATGTCAACAACAAAAGGAAACTTGTAATTTTGTTGAACATCATGAATAAAATTTGTCCTCTAAGCATGGGATGTGTAATATAGTTAGTTAGTTAGTTAGTTAGTTAGTTAGTTAGTTAGTTAGTTAGTTAGTTAGTTAGTTAGTTAGTTAGTTA